TCCCAATACCCATGCCTTTGGTATTTATAAGGAAATGCACCTTGATTTCCAATCTTCCACCAATGTGGGAGAGTTGGTAAATTCAACAATTTATTTAATTCCAAATTAAATAAATAATTAAATCAATCACATCGCGACAAGTGGCACAATTACATGCTAATGAGTGATGCCCAAGGTTAGGTGGGGGGGACCATAGCCTTGATCTTCAAGGCTTTGCTTGGTCCCCACACCCAGACACAAACCGCGTCAAGGAGGGCTGTGCTGGCTGCCAGCTAGCAGCAGCCTTGCATCCCCAACCAGGGAGCGTGTGCTGGTGCTGGGCGATGCTTGGTGCTGGTGCATGCTAGTGCTAGGCGCTGGTGCGTGCTAGTGCTAGGCACTGCTAGCACGTTATGCTGGCGCTGGCCCTAGCACTCCTACGCATTGCCTCGCACACACACTCGCATACTACGCGTAGCCATGCCAGCCAGCCCCTCACGCATGCAAGGCCTAGCATGCGTGCTGCTAGCGAGCCACACATGCTGGGCTTGGTGCTGGGCGATGGTGCACATGCACACGCACTGAGCGACGCTAATGCTGCTTGCTAGCTTTCTGTGCTTGGTGCTGCCATGCGAAGGCACGCACGCAAGCACACAGCTATGCGAAGGCTCGGTGCTACATTGCGAGGCTGCTGGGCGATGGTGCACACGCACACGTACACACGCATGTGCCTAGCACTACGATGGTTATGTGCGTGGTGCTAGGGATGCGATGGTGCCTAGGTACTCTTGCCTTGCCTAGCACACTATGGTGCGCCTAGCACACACATGGTGCGCCTGGGCTTGCGATGAGCTAGCCTAGCCTAGCTACGGCTACGCTCATACTTGTCGCTTGTGATTTTGTGACGCTCAGTCTCAAACCATGAGTTTTTATCATACAACATCATGTTGTAAGGAATTAAAACAATTCAATAAGAAATTATCATGCAATATCAATAAGCAACGATAACAATTTACCCCTTCATACTAATTATGGATCCTCCAAGAACCCTAGAATTAAACTACTCATACATATTTAAATCTAAACTAGATAGAGCATATAAAGAAAACATGATTAAAATCAAGTAACAATAAACAAAGAAATTAAAATCAAAGCAATAAGAAAAACAATAAAAGAGATGAAATAATACCGAATGAAGGAAATATGAAATTGCACAAGAGGAAAACTTGAGTTCAACAATAATCTCTCACTTAAAATCTCTCTAAAAACTTAAGAATGAAATTAGCAATCTAAAAACGTGTCCTATTAAAAGCTTACAAAAGAGTTTAAATACTAAACCCCCAAATTAACCAAAAACGATAAGTCTTAAAACATCCAGGAAAAACACGCGCCCGATCGGACCCGCCTTTTTTCTCCTCTCTACCTTGCTGATCATCACCAGGTCGGGCTGGGCCCGGTCTTTTTCTTGGCCGAGTTTATTTTCTCTTTTTCTTCATGCTTCAATAAATATTGGCCCAATCTCTTCTTCCTCTTCCTCGGTCCATTATTTGGACCAATTTTCACTAACTAAGCCCTTAGTCACCGAAATCCTCAGTCTTGGGCTACGAAATGCGGTCATGAATGTGAGCATAGGCTTCGATATCTCGTAGTGGATGAAAAACCATAGAAAACACCAAAAATAGGGAAATTCCTACAAAATAAATGCCAACTCTACAAAATACTCGAAACCACACATTAGTACTTAAAATAGCCTCGAAGAGCTTAAATATGCATAAAAATGATTGTGGGACAGGTAATAAAATAGTATATAAAATACTAATATCATTGAACCAAACGAAATAAGCTAAAAGCTCATAAACACTAAGCTCGATCAGAAATTAGGCCTAATCTAAAGATTTAACCTAATTTCGGACGGATTTAGAGTGCCTAGGTTAAAATCTAGGGCTGCCGCAGAAAATTCGCACGCAACTCAATAAGGTTGCGCGCAACAGCCAGCGGAAACCTTCAAAGAAGCGCTGGCGGAAGATTCAGAATTTCGCAAAGATACTGAATCGAATCTTACCATACAGCCACGTCCAAGATAAGAAGTCGCGCTGTCCTTAGCAGTGCAACTCCTTCACTTGCGCACGGAAGCTGTGCGCAACTTTCACAGTTGCGGGCGCCAACTGCTACGGCAGATTCTCTGAAACTCTAATCTCACCCATTCCCTATAAATAGAGGTTCAATACGAGCTCTAAACCCACAGAGAGAAATAGCTAAAAAGTCAGCAGTAACATCTTTGTGAATTTATGCAATAATCAACCCTCTTTTCCTAAACACTCACCCTTTTAATTGTTTTGTTCTTATGGTGGAGGTTCCCCAACAAGAAGGTGTCCATGTGCATTCTAAACAACGATCTAACAAGAAAAAGTGGTAATTTCCGAGCGCTTAGATAAATCACTCTACTTTTCTCGTCTTAAATCACCTTAAATGATTTATTAGTGTTGTTTGATCACGTTAAATAAATATTTAATTAATCATTTTTGACATAGTGCTCTTTCGTTAAATAAGACTAGAATTGTATTAGTTAATTGATTGTTTTATCACTTAATGTAACACCCTTAATTTCCAACTCTTATAAGAACATTAGTAGGGACATAACAATAGGAGATTAGGGGTGCTACTGCCTTGATCACTTAGATTACAAACCTAAGTGATAAGGCTAAATTAAACGACAACTTAATTAGATTTATTCCAAAATTAAAAATTGTCATACTTAAGTCATAACCTTTAAAGGAGCTACAATAATAATTTCTCAAGCTAATCCTTAAATAAACTTTCTCAATTCTATTAAATTATTACTAATATGAGCCATATGGTCTCGATGGGTCGCTCTCTTACGTTGAACCATATAAACCTAAAATTCAAGAAACATATACAAGGAAGAAATAACAAAGTCAGTGACAACTAAGTAAGTACTACTTCAACCTGTAAAACAATTATTTTAAAAATAAATCTATATTTATTATTGAAGAATACATATTGGTTAAGAACTTGTACACAATAGCTTAAACACATCTTCAATATTAATAGGTACAAATCTTTAATTTTTTGGAAGGAAGATACAATAATATAATGCCACCACCAAATTGTAGATTCGAGTCTACCACTCGAAACGATTGTAACCACCAATACTTAATTGTGCACACCCTCCATTGATTGTTTTTAACTCAAGGGAGTAGATTAAGCCTAGGGTCGTGCTATATAGCTCCGACCTAAAATTTTTGATACATTATTAAGATCAACCCACGAATCTGTCAAACCTTAGGGGATCCTATCTAAGATGTCTTACTATCCAAGAATTCTTTAATTCAAGTGATTAATAAATTAATTACATAGTTGTGAGCATATAAAAATTTAATCACCGTATGGTAAAATATTAAATCAGCCAACATAAAAGATGAGTTTTTATTGAATAAAACAATTAAGATCGTAATTGAATAAATTCCCGAAAGCATGTAATGAATTAAAACACACGTCACATTAAAAACCTTGTTCTCACAGGGTTTATAAAAGTAGTGAACATAGTAAATTACCCTATCAAGCTCAAGCACTACACAAGATCTTATCTAGTAGTCACCTTCCTCCGCTACGTGCTCTACTTATAAGTGTAGATCGAATATTAATAACTATATAATAAACATGCATATCTATATACTTAGCATAGTATATGCACTAGTGTAAGATTAATTATATGTATATTCCTATACCCGCATATTAATCCTACCCTTTTAAGTGAGTGGACATATTTGCATACAAAATTAGTTCATTGTGCCATAAAAACGTAACTTGGTAAGAAAAACAAGTAAAATATGAAATAGTTGGAAAAAGTAAAGTCATGATCATAATAAAGTAAGCAAGAAATTCATTATTTTATAAAGTTACCGTTAGTTTATACTAGGTAACTAGAAGCTAGAAATGTCGAAGAACGAAGAGTAAGGAAACTAGCAACTTTGTTTAAGCCGTATACTTTCGTTTCTGATCGGTTTACAGTTTTTTAAAGTTGAGTGTAAAGAATACTTTGAGGGATATAATATGGTGTGTTTCATGGAAGTTTCCGGTGCTAACTGAGGGTGTTTTTGATATGCCGAAAGTGGGATGATGTTGTTTCGGCAATCAACTTTCAATGGTTGGTTTCTTGCGTGGGATGAGCTGATATCTTATAGGGAGTATGGATAGCTCTAAAGTGCTGAAAATGAGCAACATTAACGGTATTTATAGACATACTTGTTTAAGGGTATGATAAGGATAGGAAATTTGAATTTGAAAATGGTTGGATAAGCGTTATTCTGATCGGTTGTTGCATTGAATTTGTACTCCATTTTGGGTTAATTTCATGAACATGGTCTTCATCATGGTAGTAAGGATGGTGAAGTTTGTTATACAAGGATAAAGAGTTGATGATAATGATGATGGATAAGGTTTAAGATGATAATGTTAGTTTGTTGATTCTCCTAAGAATATGGTGAAGGACGTGAGCTGAGGTTAAAGATGATCAAAATATTTTTATTTTTTTTTTTATGAAATGTAATTTGATTAAAACTTGGTATCCAAATAAATACAAATTAATTATCTTTCAAAAAAAAATACAAATTAATTAGTAAGAAAAATTAATTATCATAAGTATTTACATTAGCAAGGTAAAGTATGTATAATATTTATTACCAATAAATCCATAATTATAGATAAAGTTGTGTAGTATTACAATCCATCCCCCTTAAAGAAAGATTCGTCCTCGAATCTTGAACCAAGCTTATAGTGCATTAAAATTCATACGCATGATTGTAAGAAAAATGCATGACTGTAAAGGTAAAATTCACCCTCTTTAAAAGGGGTTGTCCCTATAACCCAATTAAGTACCTTATTGAATAACCCTGGGTATCTTTGCCTCATGGTGTCTTTTAATTTTCTTCCAATGTAGCTTCTTTGGTTTGATGGTTTGACCATAAGACCTTCACAATTTTACCCTCCTTATTTCTTGTTTATCTAACTTTCTCATCTAGAATCTTTATGGGTTTTTCTTCATTAATTAAAGTCTCATCTATTTCTACAACCTCAGGTTGAATTACATGTGAAGGGTCATGGACAAACTTCTTCAGTTGAGAAATGTTAAAAACATCATGTACCTTAGATAACTTCGTTGGTAGAGCCAATCTATAAGCAACTTCCCCAACCCATTCTAACACCTTGTATCTCGGGTTGAGCTTCCCTTTCTTGCCAAATCTCATGACACCTTTGGTTGGAGACACTTTTAGTAGTACCTTTTCGCCTACTTCAAAGGTGACTTTATGGCGACCTTGATCCGCATAAGATTTTTGTTGATCCTGGGCAGCTTTCATCCTTTCTTGAATTATTCAAACCTTCTCAATTGTATCATGCAAATATTCAGGACCCAATACCACCTAATCACGCATGTCACTCCAACATAAAGGGCTTCTGCATTTTCTATATACAATGCTTCATAAGGAGCCGTGTCGATGCTTATATGGTAACTATTGTTATAAGAAAACCCAATCAAGTCTAAGTTATCTTCCCACGACCCCTTGAAATCAATGGCACATGCTCTCACGAGGTCTTCCAAGGTCTGAATTGTTCTCTCAGTTTAACCGTCTGTAGTAGGGTGGAAGGTTGTACTGAGCTTAAGTTAAGTCCCAAATGCTTGTTGGGATTTCTCCCAAAATTTTGATAGAAACCTCGAATCTCTATCAGAAACAATGTCTCTTGGTACTCCATGATGCTTCACAAAATTATTTAGATACGTTGTAGCGATCTGCTCCATAGACCCTTGGTTATTTTTTCCTTGTATATGTTTCTTAAATTTCAGGTTTATGTGGTTCAACGTGAGAGATCGATTCGCCGAGACCATATGGTCATATTAGTAATAATGTAATATAATTGAGACATTTTATTTAAGGATTAGCTTGAGACATTATTGTAGCTCCTTTAAAAGTTATGACTTAAATATGACAATTATTTAATTTTGGAATAAATTTAGTTAAGTTTTCGTTTAATTTAGCCTTATTACTTAGGTTTGTAATCTAAGTAAGGCGGTAGCACCCCTAATCTCCTATTTTTATGTCCCTACTAACGTTCTAATAAGAGTTGAAAATTGAGGGTGTTACAAAGTGGTATTCAGAGCCTTAGGTGAGGCCATTTGATAAGCGTTTTGAGGCTATAGGATGCCCTGAGGATGAGAGGGTCCCTGCAGCAACCCACTACCTGCAAGGTGAGGCCGACATTTGGTGGTCCAATCCTAAAGCTAATTTAACTACCCAACCTGGATTTTATTGGGATGCATTCAAAATTGCTATGACGGATAGGTTTTACCCTGACCATGTTAATTAAAAATCTTAGGCAGAGAAACATGTCTGTTCAAGATTACCATTCAAAGTTCCTTAAGCTAGCTAGATTTGCACCCACAGTGGTCCCAAACGAGCAAGCCAAAGCTAATAAGTTCATTTGGGGCCTAAATTTTGAGACTCAAAAAGGTGTAATTGTTTTGGGATGCCAAACCTTACAAGAGGCATACACTAGGGTAGCTAGCCACTATAGGGTTGAAAAGTTAGAGGAGGAAATTAAGTCAAGGGGGAAGAAGAGAGATAGAAATTCAGGGAACAACAATCAAATTGGAGGAAATTCTCAAAACAATGGGAATAAAAGGCCTAGTTACAATAACAACCAGAGTGCAAATAGGGGTTATCAAGGAACAATGGAGGAAAATTTCAAGGTCAGGGACAAAACCATCAAAATGGGAATGGGAGGAGACAATAGAGGCATTATTATTGCAAGCAGTGTAGCAATAACCATCCAAGAGTTGACTGTAAGGGTAACCTAGTTTAGTGCTTTGGGTGTAAAAAATGAGGACATCGGGAATTTGAGTGCTACCACAAGCATAATGGAGGTCAATAAGGTCAAGGGCAAAGGAGGCAAGTTAATGATGGGAACCAAGGGAATTCTTTCAGAAACCAAGCTACTCAAAATGGCATCAATAAGGCTTCGTCTACTCCAAATAGCATTGGCGATCAAGGGAATAATGTTAACCGAGGAAGAATATTTGTTATGAACCAAGCTCAGGCTAATGGAAAAGCTAACGTCGTAACCGGTACATTTCTTGCGAATACTACCCCTTCATATGTGCTTTTTTACTCTAAAGCTTCTCTTTCATTTATATCATCTTCCCTAGTTAAGAATCTAGGTTTAGAACCTTCTTCTCATATATCTACTCAGATATTTATTCCAACTGGGGAGGTAGTGGCATGTAGAAAACTTTATAAGGATGTGTCAATAAATATTAGTGGGACTAATCTCCTAATAAACCTTATAGAGTTCAACCTAGATGACTTAGATGTTATTCTAGGCATGGATTAGTTGGGGAAATATAAGGCTCATATTGAATGTCTTGATCAAAAATTTGTTTTGAGAGGGCCAAAAGGTAATAAAATCACCTATTAAGGTATTGTGGTTAAACCTGGAGTAAAAATTATATCAGCATTAACCATGCATAAATACCTTAGAAAGGGATATAAAGCCTTTTTGTGGCAAATCCAAAATTTAGAACTAAAAGAGAGTCAATTGGATGAAATTCCAATAGTTAGGGAGTTTCCTGATGTGTTTCCCGAGGATATTCCGGAGATGCCTCCTGAGAGAGAAGTTGAGTTCACCATAGATTTGATTCTAGGGACTGCACCTATCTCTAAGGCCCCTTATTGTATGGCCCCTGCTGAAATGAAGGAATTGAAGGAGAAATATAAGAATTGTTGAATAAGGGATACATTTGACCTAGTGTGTCACCATGGGGAGCCCAAGTGTTATTTGTGAAAGAGAAATATGGGGTTTGAGGTTGTGTATTGATTAAAGAGAGTTGAACCAAGTCACTATCGAGAATAAATACCCATTGCCTCGTATAAATGACCTCTTTGACCAATTGAAAGGTGCTGAGACATTTTCTAAGATATACTTGCGATCGGGATATCATCAATTGAAGATCGCGTAGAAAGACATACCAAAGACAGCTTTTAGGACATGTTATGGCCATTATGAGTTTACAGTCATGCCATTAGGGTTGACTAATGCCCCTGCAATGATTATGGACCTTATGAACCGAGTTATAAAACCCTATCTTGATCAATTTGTTGTTGTATTTATTGATGACATCTTGGTGTATTCCGAAACCCCTGAGGATCACGAGCAACATTTGCATGTAGTTTTGGAAACTTTGAGAAAAAAGAAGTACGCGAAATTGTCAAAATGTGACTTTTGGAGGAAAGAGGTCTCCTTTTAGGTCATATCATCTCAAAGGAAGGAATTAATGAAGATCCCTCAAAAATTCAAGCAGTGATGGATTAGCCAAGACCCACTAATGTGACTGAGATTTGTAGTTTCCTGGGTTTAGCTGGTTATTATTGTTCTTTCACGAATTGGAATTAAATAAGAATAACGACATTCATTGTGATGTAATCCTTATGTGATTGACGCGTGTAAATAAAATCAACTAACTTAGTTTTAGGAATCACGTTGCATATATTGTTTGGTAATGAAATTGTGAAAAAGGAAGAGCTAGTAGAGGCCGCGCTAGGGCTAGGATGGCGATTCCCCTCAAAAGGGAACGTAATCTTAGTACCCTCGCTCCCGAACTCATTTCTGGTGCAAGTAGACCAATTTGAGCATGGGCAGACTTGTGATTCATGATAAATATCCCTTGAACTCTACTTGGGAGAAAGAAATGAACGAGGTTTATAAGTTTTCCTAAAACTCATTGGCGACTCTCTATTGGTTTCTTATAAAAAAAAAGTGTAATGATAGAAACAATTCTAATTCAAGGTCCCCCAAACAGTCGGGAATTTAAATCCTAACACACCTTAAAAAGTGTAAAGTCCTAAGCTTTTAAAGGGCCATGGGCATAGAGTAAGTGGGATCCCCAACGACGGGCTACCCTCTTCACACATATAAAATAAATGTCAACTCTACAAAACACTCGAAACCACACATTAGTACAAAAAATAGCTCTGAAGAGCTCAAATATGCACAAAAAAATGACCATGGGACGGGGGATAAAATAGCATATAAAATACACATATCAAACTCTCCCGAACCAAACCTTTACTTATCCCTAAGCTAAGCAATGAACAAAAAAATCAAATCTTTACCCTAAATTCATTTCAAACCAACATTACAACTCAAAGCAAATCTAACAAACATGTACCAATCTTCCCTAACAATTGCCAAATAGAGCAATCCAAAAGAGAATATAGAATTCAAGACTAGTGTTTACACACTCAACTATCATTTATGTGGCGAGTAAAAGATGTACTCGATCGCTCTCCAACCCAACCCCTTAAATGTGAAAAATGCCCTCCCTCACAACACTCGTGTGTTTGGAAGACATACACTCAACCTAATAGTCGACTCGGAATATGTCAAATAATTCTTTGCATTGATAAACAACTAATTTCAAATTCATACAACTCTATGTACAAACGTCATAAGGTCTTTAAAGCTTGTAATGTAAGGTTAAGGTGAAAGGTAGGATAAAATTTTTGGAAAATGTGGGAATAAAGTCATGCTTAAGGGAGCCAAAATCCTAACAAACAAAACCAAGACCAAAAATAAATAATGACCAAATCATCTCCAACACAACTCAACTCCACCAAAATTCACCATACAACCAATCCAATATTTCACAAATTTTCCAACACTTACGATTTCACTCATACAAATATGAAAATATAGAACTTGAGTTAGCCAAACAAACTTTGAAATTTCTCTTCTTTTTCTCTTTGAACATGATTTTTTTTTCCCTTGAGCAACCTCCGATTAGAACACTTGAACATTGAAACAATTTTTTTTTCTTTTGCTCTTTTTTTCTTTTTACCTCACATTGGAATTTTTTCAACTTTTGAACACCGTTTTGAATTTTTTCCAATCCACAAAATAAGAACAACAAATAACTTCTCAATTCCACCCAAATTGTGCAAATTATAAGCATACTACAACCTTCACCTCACTCACTATTAGCTCCCCAAAGCTAAGCTTGGGACTAGTAACTAATTGGGCTTAAACAGACTTGTAATGTGGTTACAAATAATAAATAGGGCAAAAGCAACAATATGGATAGCAAGAAGGGAATAAATGTATCTAATATAATCTGAAGGTCACCTAAAAGAATAAACGCCTTCTTCCTCCTCAATGTGCGTAATAAGAAGCCATATAAACATTACTCAAAGTTAAAACCCAATACTCAACTTCATTGACATACCAGGAACTAACACACATTCCTCACCAAATCAACTAGTCAAGCATTATATTCACAAGTAGTTGGGAAAAATTGACGCATGTTAAGATTTCAAGGCAATCAAACATCAAATCATGACCAACTAATCCACAATGTTCATCATCATATACCAAGAGTTTAAACAATTTTCCAAACAATTTCATCAAGGGGCACAGGGAAGCATGATTTAACTTATCTTTCATTGGAACATACTTTTGTTTTGTTTTTTTTTTAAAGCAATAAAAGGAGAAAGGAGAGAAAGAATACCATATATACAAATCATCTCCCCCCAAGCCAAATCAAGCAATGCCCTCATTGACTTGGGAGTGTAGCCATAAGAAGCTACTCATCATCATCATCCTCCTCCATCCTAGTATACTACCTCCTCCATGGCTAGAATCGGCATCTCCTGACCCGAACCACCTGCAAAATAGTTAGGATCCACATTCGCACCTAACCCCCCAAAAGGAACATCAGCCCCATAACCATAAACAGAATAATAGTCTACATAAGTCTCATGGACGTCCGAGGTGGAGTATCCTCCTTGAGGGGGTTGGAACCAATCCGAGAGCATTGCCTCGAGGGGAATAGCACTACGTCGTGCATAGTCATCATACATGGGAAACAAACCCCTCCCGTGGTTCCTTTCCAAGTACCCTACCCTTCTATCAAGGGACCGAACTATCCCTTCTACCCATCCATGCCCTTGCTCAATCCTATCAAGTTGGCCCCTAAAGGCGGTGAAGACATATGGTGCATTAGGGTCAATATGGGGGACATGTGCAAAGGAAGGGATGTTGGGAATGTGAGGTTGGGGTTGAGGGGCTTCCCGAGCTTCCCCTTCATTTTCAATAACATAAGTGTAAGAAGCCTTAACCTTATCAAACTTGGTCATAGCGGGGTTAGGTAATCTAAAAGCCCGATCTCTCCTCCCTGGTTCCCTATGCACTATCCACCATAACTCATTGGGCCGACTCACACTATGTGTTGGTTGGATCCATTGGAGACCTCACAAATAGCTTAAGTCCATTAGGGTGTTCCCATTTGTTGGGTTTCGTAGTTTCCAACACTACGTGGAATGAAACCCTCCCAAAATCCGCACACAAATTAAAGTAACTAAACATGCATATTAATTAACAATCACATAATTAATTAACAAAGAGAGATAGAAAGACGATCATACCCTTGATGCGTGCTTCCCTCCTTTTAGAGCTCGAACTTGAAAGTGTAAAGCTCCGAAAATGCGCAAGCCTCCAACGGCTCTCACCCTCGAGACCCGACCCGAATGGCCCCTACCCCGAAGCTTAGTCGGGGCTAGACCAAAAGAACTTAGAGTATTAGAACTAAGGTTTTCTCTTCTTGGAGATCCCTTAAAGTTCACAACTCAAGTGTCTCTTCCCAATGCCAAATGATTGGTATTTATAGGTAAGGGAGCCCTTGAATTCCAATCTCCCATCGATGTAGGAAAGTTGGTAAAATGCATTTTATTCAATTTAATTTAATTCAAAAATCAAATTGAAATGCAAATGAATCAACAAACGACAAGTGTCAAGTGGTGAGTAAGGGGTTAGGTGAGGACCACAAGGGGGGGACCACCCTCCCCTTTCTCCCCAAGCAAACCCACATACACAAGCTCCTACACGCATAAGCTCCCACACGCACAAGCTCCCACACGCAAGTGTTTTGGCTGGGCATTGGCACAAGGCCTGGCTGGCTACCAGCCTTGCTGTGCGACACAGCCAGCCCATGCACAGGGCAATTTGCGTGCTGGGCCTCATGCTGTGCAGCTTTTCCGCTTGCATGGCCTAGCATGCTAGCTAGGCGTTGCTTCCCCCATGAGCGAGCTGCTACCACGCCCCTGCTAGCCCAGCGATTCTTCGGTGCGTGCTGGTGCTAGCTTGCGTCAGGCCTGGCGCACTTGCCCCGCAAGTATGTTGGGCCAGCAAGCCTAAGCCTAGCAAGCACATGCATGCTTGTCTTGCAACACAGCAATGCATTGCGGTTGGTGCCCTATGTTAGCCTAGCCTTCGCATGACTAGGAAAATGCGAAGCTACAACTTAGCTTAAACTTTTCGTTTACTTGATTTCTTGTCTCGTCGAATCCTAAATTTGACTCGACTTATGATGCTCGGTTTCGGCACTCTAAGCTCGATATCCGACGTCTTTGTTCGTAATACTCTAATGACTCATTTAATTATTCAAATTAATTTTTCGTTTCAGTTCAGTTACTCGATTGGGTGTGACCTAAAGGGTTCAGTCAAGATTAAGCTGTACTATTAATTATGCATTAATATTACTAATCGGAAGTGACCTCCAGCTAGGCATTTCGATCACTTGACCTCACTGAATAATTAGCTTTCTAATAATTTCAAACCCTCTATCGGAATAATACACTTGTTGGAAGGACACCATTCCTTTCAATCTCCCACTTGTCCTTCCGGACAAGTGCACTATTAGTGTATAGCAATTTCCTATGTCACTTAATGTCTCTTCATGAATTATAAGGTAAGATTCTTCATCGTTCTTATTACGTCCAGAAGTGTTTCTCAATTTCCGAGTTTGACTGTCAATAAGCAGATGATTTCTAAAATCCATCTGAGCACGACCATGCATTTTCACAATCACGCTCTTCGAGAGGCCTTGTAAACAACAAAGACATGTTCCCTATTTTTAATAGGGGGACATTCCCAGTCTTGCATTATTTGATTCCCTTACTAAGAGGACCTAGCCATCCGAGTGTTACCGTAATAATCCCCATTTACAGCAGAAGTTTGACAACATCAAAATGGACTAGTACTCAAACAAGAGAACTTATAATACTCATGGTCGAGGAAAGAGGTTCTAATAGCTATAATGAGCGATATACTTATGATGATTGTCAAATATCTTAAAGTATTCTCATAGGTTGATCTGGTATAGTTCCAAACTAATACCTGTGCAAATGATTTATGATAATCATGTCCTTATAGCACAAAAAACGGTGATGCAAATCATACTACACACTAATCTCATGCGGTCATTAGTTGTCCAACTTTCAAATGACCTCGATTAGGGATGATTTCGATATGATATTCAACATTCACTTAATGGGTGTTTCTTTATCCAAGACATGGCCTTGACACCCTATTTTGAATTTCAAATCGAATGGACTCACTATTTAATTCTAAACTACAATTAAATAGAAATGGAATAATAATTTATAGAAAAAATTAAATTACTCCATAAATGAATGGTTTTAGCATGGTGTTTTACATTAAGATCTCCACAACTTAATTAAAACACACATATAGGGAATTCAAAGCCAATCTCCATTGTGCTTGATTCCCATTGCCTTAACGTGCTTGTTCTGTTTCACTTGAGGCAAAGGTTTAGTGAGTGGATCGGCTACATTGTCGTCCGTTCCAATCTTGCAAATTCTGATTTCACCCTTGGACTTCCATTCCCTTATCATGTGAAATCGCCTCATGACATGTTTGACTTTCTGATGCTCCCTTGGCTCCCTAGCCTGAGCAATAAGCCCACTATTATCACAGTAGAGGTCTATTGGTCCCTTTATTGAGGGGACAACACCAGGTTCACCAACGAATTTACGAACCCAAATTGCCTCCTTACCTGCTTCCGAAGTTGCCAAGTATTTGGCTTCAGTTGTAGAGTCTAGAGTTGTGCGTTGCTTAGCACTCTTCTAACTAAACTCTCCTCCATTATGACAGAGCACATATCCTGATTGTGACTTGAAGTCGTCTCTGTCAGTCTGGAATCTTGCGTCAGTATAACCTTCAACAACCAAATCATTACTCCCACCATAGACTAGAAATTTATCCTTGTTCCTTTTCATGTACTTTAGGATATTCTTGGTCGCAGTCTAATGCACCTCTCCTGGGTCTGATTGGTATCGGCTCGTAACACTCAAGGCATACGATACATCCAGCCTAGTACATATCATGGCATACATGATTGATCCAATGATCACAGGGTGTGGTTCTTGCTCATCCAAGAATGCATATTATAAATAAGAAGGAAGAGGTTTAAGTTCAGGTTTCTTTACCTCCGCAGAGTACGAATCTTAAATTAAATTTTCTACCTTATCATTGTCATCAGGGCTAAGTTGCTCATTTTCTAGAGCTTGCTCAATTTCATCCACCTCCACTAGTAGATAAAATGACAAAGGCACCCCACCTTTGGCACCGGTTTTTGAAAACCGGGGGTTAAAGAAACGGGCGGGATTGGAAAACAAGCTTTTGGCACCGGTTCCAGCCAAACCGGTGGCAAATTATCTTTTTGGTGCCAAATAAAAAAGATATTTTTTAAAAAAAAAGGGGGAGAAAGGGTTTTGGCACCAGTTCGGTTCAAACCGGTGCCCATTTAAAAAAAAAAAAAAAAAAAAAAAAAAAAAAAAAAAAAAAAAAATCGCTCGTATTTCTTCTTCTTCTTTTCTTTCCCCCAACTTTTCATTTTCGGTTTTCCCTAACTCTCATTTTCGCCCTTCTCTTAGCTTCGACCACCTCTAAAGTTCCACCTTTCTCTATATCTCTCCTCCATTACGCGTGCTCGTAGTTCTCCATTGAAGCGCATTCTGAGCTTTGTCCATATCACTCCTCCACTACGCGTATTGTTAATTCTCCATTAAAGCGGATTCGAGCTTTCTCACCTCCATTGAAGTAGCTTTGAGGTAAAATTTTGTTTTTGTCCTTTTTAGATTATCGATTTCAGTTTTCGCAATCTAGGGTTTGTCGTTGATTTGATTTTTTGAATTTAGGGTTAGTTCTTGTAAACTAGGGTTAGTTTACCACCGTAACCCTGTTAATTTCGATTTGGGTTTTCTGGGTTTAGGTTTCACTTTGGGGTTTTTCTGGATTTGACTTTCGTTTAAGTAGTCAATGGGGAGGCAGTTTCGTGGGGGGTTTAGGGGTTTCGTGGGTGGTCAGGGTGGCTGCGGTGGTCGATTTTGACAACATTTAATTGTCAGTATTTCTTGAAATTATGTAGATCTGTGTTTCTAAGCTTTCAAATTACTGATGTGTAGTGGAGCGAACCTGGGTATGGGATTTAACCCAGGTATTGTGGCGATGCGAAGGTTGGGTATGGTGATAAGTTTGATGATGATGAGGTAAAGGATGTCTCTTGATAATTTTTCTACATTTTCATGATAATCTGACTTTAATTATAAATACCGTACAAAGTATTATCTGAGCCCAAATTTATCAAGTGTTTGTTGATGGAGGGTTGTGTGTTGCTTGTTGATAAATGGTTGCCAGCAACTGTGATATGTTGCTGGTCAGGGGATGTATAATTGTAATATGTTGTTGTTCCTATTGATGTTGGTGTGTGGCCTGAGTTTCTTGGATTATGTGATATTACTCTATGGCCTTAGATTGTAATTCATTTTGTGAATTCTTTGTGTTGATTGTTTGAATGGTTGTGAGGTTGTGTTTGTTGTTGGTTTAGTTTGTTTAGTTCAATTAGTCTTCTTGTTTAGATTGTTATTGGTTTCGATTGATCTGCTTTGCCTGCTCAAGTGTTATTGATTTGTTTCTGCTTTGAATGCGCTAAAATTTGTTATTGTGGCTTAATTGAAAGATTAATAGCTTGGTTGTTGTCCAGTTGATGGATAGTATATATGAGTGTGGACTAGTGTGAAGCTGCTTCTATGTGTGCCATACCTTAGTAAAACTTTGTGGATTGATTTGCTGGCCAGGAGACGTATGATTGTGATATGTTGTTGTTGTTATTGATGTTGGTGTGTGTCCTGAGTTTCTTGGATTATGTCCCTTTTTAATGTCCCTTGATTGCTCTATACAATGTATTGTTGTTGCTTGCTTGCACTCTGTTTTTTTGCTGCCCAATGTGTTGTTGTTGTTGCTGCCCAAAGTGTTGTTGTTGTTGCTGCCTCGGACTCTAGGTTTGAAACTTATTGGCTCCTCGATGAAGGGAACAAAGAGGTGGTGAAGTCATCTTGGGAAGAGGCCAGGGGATGTATGATTGTGATATGTTGTTGTTGCTATTGATGTTGGTGTGTAGCCTGAGTTTCTTGGATTATGTCCCTTTTTAATGTCCCTTGATTAATGTTATTTGGAATATGTCCCTTAATTATGTCCATTATTTAATGTTGCTTGGAATATGTTCCTTGATTATGTCCCTTGATTAATGTTGATGGAATATACTCCTTGACTATGTCCCTTTTTAACTGACCCCTATATAACAAACCAATGCGTTGAGTCCCTTGGCCGTAAATAGTTACACTAGGATAATCCATATGATGAAGGGACTCACTTTCATCGTACAGCTTCTCACTGTGATTTGCTCCGGTTTGTCCGTTGAGGTAACACAGTTTGAGAAGATTGGATGAAAATGAAACCCCTAATGGATTCATGAATTATTTGCTTTATTTTGATGAAATTTGTGGTTTTTGTTGTTGTGTTTGAATAGTCATTGAATGCCAAGCTAAGAGTGTACTGTTGCTTAGGGTATTTTCTCTCTCCCTCTTAAGCTAAGAATCAAAATGCTCACTCTGCTATATTGAGACAGCTGAATTTACTCGAGTACGATATTCTTTAAACACTCGAGGAAGGATACTTTAAACAAGGACCGGGACAAAAGATTCTCCATTAAACCCGGAAACACAAAACACAAAACAAGGAACACAAAACAAAAAACACAGCAAGCCCATATACACAGGAGGCCAAAATAACACCTACACACAACTAGCAAACACACCATAAAAAAACAGCACCTAATCAAAACAGCAGCACCATCCCACACCACTACTGCTCAGAACCCAAACAGCAGCCCAACCAGTACAGAGAAGACACCAGCAAGCCTTGTAGGAAGGAGACAGACTCTAAATCCATGAGCAACAGCTCCCAGCAAGTCCTGACAGAGACAGCAGCCTACACATAAAATAGACACATTTCAGCTCAGCATCACAGCTCCCTAGAAAACAAGTAACATGGTTGGAAAAGGAAAACAGACAGCAGCACAGTAGTATCAACACAGCAAACCTCTCAACAAACCAGAACAAGATCCATCATACACGTACAACTGAAACCAGAACCACTAAGACTACAGGCAGTTCGTGGGGATATTGTGCTTTAGTTTATGAACCCATTTGCAGTGCTCTCTCTTCCAGGTCTTCTCAATAAGATGTTGAAACCTGCACGAAACCTCAATACAGATGGCCTGACAAAGTTTTATAGGAATAATAACAGCCTTATGCCAGAACGCATGATTTCTAGCAAACCATACATGGTACACACATGCACTCAAGCCTGCTAGGATTGCTTGACTGGAATTTCACCAGTGACCAGTGGAGATGGTAACAGTTTGTGTTAGAATCTGTCCTTTCTGGTTTAAATTTCTGTTTTTCATGATGTACTAGTCAGCATTCAATTGAAATCTCAGGTGTTTTTTTTTAAAGTTTTTTAAAGTGTAATATTACAAGTTATTGAAGAAAATATGTGTTTTATGTATATTATGATTATATATAAGTATTTGGTACAATTTAAGTGCAAAAAATGCAAAACAAAAAAAAAAAAAAAAAAAAAAAAAAAAAAAAAAAAAAAAAATTGTTTATTTTTTTTGGGCATTTTTGGCACCGATTTTGGAAAGAACCGGTGCCAAAAGTTTTTTTTTTAAATTTTTTTGGGGACTTTTGGCATCGATTCTAAGTCAAAACCGGTGCCTATTGTATTGAAATAAAAAAATAAAAATAAAAAAATAAAAAAAAAAAAAAAGCACGCCATGGATAATTGGCACCGCTTAACCGGTGCCAAATCTTTAAATAGCCACCAGTTTTGAACCGGTGCCAATTACTCAACGGTTCAAAACCGATGCCCATAGGGTGGTTTGAACTGGTGCCTATTTATGTTTTTCGCCTAGTGCTCTTTACTCCATATATCAGCATCCCCTGCAGTATAATCACAACATAGTACTTCCTCCAAGGGATCTCTTGCGAGAACTTGGGGTAAGCTATCATGGCATATAACATCAATAACATAAATACTGCAACATGTTTTCCTCTAGCATAGGTCCTCTTATGACTCTCTCTAAATTAAAGGTGATGTTATCATCCCCAACAGAAAGAGTGAGTTTTCCATTTTTGACATCAATTATGGCCCCTGTAGTGTGAAGGAAAGGTCTACCTAATATAATAGAGAATTATGTATCTTCCTCCATGTCAAGAACAACAAAGTCTACGAGAATAAAAAATTTACCAACTCTAATGGGAACATCCTCTAAAATACCTAGGGGTATTTAACAGAATGGTCGGCCATTTGTAGAGTTATATTAGTAACTTTATCTCCCATATTAATCTTGGAGCACAAAGATGATGGCATGACGCTAACACTAGCACCCAAATCACATAATGTTTTATCAATGAAAAGATTACCAATATGACAAGGTATAGAAAAACTACCAGGATCCTTTGACTTAGGTGGAGATTTATTTTGTAGTATTGCACTACATTCTTCAGTGAAAGCTACAGTCTCTACCTCATTAAAGGCTCTCTTCCTAGTCAAAATATCTTTCATAAATTTAGCATATGCAGGAAATTGTGTAAGTAACTCTGTGAAATGAACTGTTACTTGCAAATTTTTGACAACCTCTAGAAAACTTACCAAACTGCTTATCTAACTTACTCTTAAGGTGACGATTTGTGAATGGTAGTTTAACGTCAAGTCTCTGTATTTTTGAGATCTTATCTTGAATTTTACCCTGCAATTTATCATCAGAAGAGTTAGTTTTACCTTGGGGCCTTATAGTATTAGGAACAAAATTATCAAGAACAACAATATCTGTAATGATGAGTTCATCATTTTTGGGCATAGATGGCCTATCGTATTTTGAACCACTTTGCAAAAAGATTGCATTCACATGATTAGTTGGTTGTACTGGCTATGATGGAAGGGCTCCCTGCTGCTAAGTTTGCAAAGTAGAGGAAATCAACGCAATTTGATTACCTATAATTTTATTATGAGATTAATGAATTAATTTGCGCATCCTTACTCTACATCTGCTTCTGCATATTGGCTAACATAGTTTTTATTTCAGGTAGGGCAGGATTACACTAGGCGAAAAACATAAATAGGCACCGATTCAAACCACCCTATGGGCACCGGTTTTGAACCGTTGAGTATTTGAGGGATGCTAAATCTCTGAAGATTTGGCACCGGTTCAAAACTGGTGGCTATTTAAAGATTTGGCACCGATTAACCGGTGCCAGATACCCTCTTTGGCACCGGTTAACCGGTGCCAATTACCCATGGTGCGCTTTTTTTTTTATTTCAATACAATAGGAACCGATTTTGACTTAGAAACGGTGCCAAAAGTCCCCAAAAAAATTTTAAAAAAAAACTTTTGGAACTAGTTCTTTTTCAAAACCGGTGCTAAAAATGCCCAAAAAAAATTAAAATAAATTTTTTTTTTCATTTTTTTCACTTAAATTGTACCAAATACATATATATAATCATAATATACATAAAACACATATATTTTCTTCAATAACTTGTAATATTACACTTTAAAAAACCAAAAAAAAAAAAAAAAAAAAAGAAATAGAAAAAACACTTGAGATTTCAGTTGAATGCTGACTAGTACATCATGAAAAACAGAAATTTAAACCAGAAAGGACAGATTCTCAAACAAACTGTTACCATCTCCACTGATTACTGGTGAAATTCCAGTCAAGCAATCCTAGCAGCCCTGAGTGCATGTGTGTACCATGTATGGTTTGCTAGAAATCATGCGTTCTGGAATAAGGCTGTTATTATTCCTATAAAACTTTGTCAGGCCATCTGTATTGAGGTTTCGTGCAGGTTTCAACAACTTATTGAGAAGACCTAGAAGAGAGAGCACTGCAAATGGGTTCATAAACTGAAGCACAATATCCCTACAAACTGCCTGTAGTCTTAGTGGTTCTGGTTTCAGTTGTGTATGATGGATCTTGTTCTAGTTTGTTAAGAAGTTTGCTATGTTGATAATACTGTGCTGCTGTTTGTTTTCCTTTTGCAGCCATGTTGCTGGTTTTCTGGGGAGCTGTGATGCTGAGCTGCTATCTTTCTAGGCTGGTTCTTGGTGGTAATGCAGATGTGTCTGTTTTCTGTGTAGATTGTTGTCTTTGTCAGGAATTGCTAGGAGCTGCTGCTCATGGATTTAGAGTCTGTCTCCTTTGACTTTATGCTCAGCTGGTGTTTTCTGTCTTCCTGTTTTCCTACAGGACTTGCTTGTGTCTGCTCTGTACTGGTTGGGCTGTTGTTTGGGTTCTGAGCAGTAGTGGTGTGGGATGGTGCTGCTGTTTTGGTGGGCTGCTGGTCTGTTTTTGATTGGGTGCTGTTTTTTTATTGTGTGTTTGCTAGATGTGTGTAGGTGTTATTTTGGCCTCCTGTGTATATGGGCTTGCTGTGTTTTTTGTTTTGTGTTCCTTGTTTTGTGTTTTGTGTTTCCGGGTTTTATGGAGAATCTTTTGTCCCTGTCCTTGTTTAAAGTACCCTTCCTCGAGTGTTTAAAGAATATCTTACTCGAGTAAATTCAGCTGTCTCAATATAGCAGAGTGAGCATTTTGATTCTTAGCTTAAGAGGGAGAGAGAAAATACCCTAAGCAACAGTACACTCTTAGCTTGGCATTCAATGACTATTCAAACACAACAATAAAAACCACAAATTTCATCAAAATAAAGCAAATAATTCATGAATCCATTAGGGGTTTTATTTTCATCCAAAAACTTCTCAAACTGTGTTACCTCAACGGACAAACCGGAGCAAATCATAGTGAGAAGTTGTACAATGAAAGTGAGTCCCTTCATCATATGGATTATTCTAGTGTAACTATTTACGGCCAAGGGACTCAACGCATTGGTTTGTTATATAGGGGTCAGTTAAAAAGGGACATAGTCAAGGAGTATATTCCAAGAAACATTAATCAAGGGACATAATCAAGGAACATATTCCAAGCAACATTAAACAATGGACATAATTAAGGAACATATTCCAAATAACATTAATCAAGGGACATATTCCAAATAACATCAACATCAATAGCAACAACAACATATCAAAATCATACATCCCCTGGCCAGCAAATCAATCCACAAAGTTTTACTAAGGTATGGCACACTTAGAAGCAGCTTCACACCAGTCCACACTCATATATACTATCCATCAACTAGACAACAACCAAGCTATTAATCTTTCAATTTAGCCACAACAACAAATTTTAGCGCATTCAAAGCAGAAACAAATCAATGACACTTAAGCAGGCAAAGCAAATCAATCGAAACCAATAACAAACTAAACAAGAAGAATAATTGAACCAAACAAACTAAACCAACAACAAACACAACCTCACAACCATTCAAACAATCAACACAAAGAATTCACAAAATGAATTACAATCTAAGGCCACAGAGTAACATCACATAATCCAAGAAACTCAGGCCACACACCAACATCAATAGCAACAACAACATATCACAATAATACATCCCCTGGCCAGCAACAGATCACAATTGTTGGCAACCATTTATCAACAAGCAACACACAATCCTCCATCAATAAACACTTGATAAATTTGAGCTCAGATAATACTTTGTACGGTATATATAAATAGGGTCAAATTATCATGAAAATGCACAAAAATTATCAAGAGACATCCTTTACCTCATCATCATCAAACTCATCACCATACCCAACCTTCGCATCGCCACAATACCCGAGTTAAATCCCATACCCAGGTTCGCTCCACTACACATTAGTAATTTGAAAGCTCAGAAACACAGATCTACATAATTTCAAGAAATACTGACAATTAAATGTTGTCAAAATCGACCACCGCAGCCACCCTAACCACCCACGAAACCCCTAAACCCCCCACGAAACTGCCTCCCCATTGACTACCTAAGCGAAAGTCAAATCCAGAAAAACCCCAAAGTGAAACCCAAACCCAGAAAACCCAAATCAAAATTAAGAGGGTTGCGGTAGTAAACTAACCCTAGTTTACAAGAACTAACCCTAAATTCGAAAATCAAATCAAAGACAAACTCTAGAATGCGAAAACTGAAATCGATAATCTAAAAAGGACAAAAACAAATTTTTACCTCGAAGCTGCTTCAATGGAGGTGAGAAAGCTCGAATCCGCTTTAATGGAGAATTAACAGTACGCGTAATGGAGGAGTGATATGGACAAAGCTCAGAATGCACTTCAATGGAGAACTACGAGCACGCGTAATGGAGGAGAGATATGGAGAAAGGTGGAACTTCAAAGGTGGTCAAAGCTAAGAGAAGGGCGAAAACGAGAGTTAGGGGAAACCAAAAATGAAAAGCAGGGGGAAAGAAAAGAAGAAGAAGAAATACGAGCGGGTTTTTTTTTTAAATGGGCACCGGTTTGAACCGAACCGGTGCCAAATCCCTCCCCTTTTTTTAAAAAAAAATATCTTTTTTATTTGGCACCGGTTTGAACTGGTGCCAAAAAGATAATTTGCCACCGGTTTGGCTGGAACCGGTGCCAAAAGCTTGTTTTCCAATCTCGCCCGTTTTTTTAACCACCGGTTTTCAAAAACCGGTGCTAAAGGTGGGGTGCCTTTGTCATTTTTTCTACTAGTGTTAGTATGTGGAGCTGGTATTTGTTGTGGGGTCTCTAATTAGGGTGTTGATAGTATTTTTGCTATTGTGGTTACTGTGGGGCTTGTTGTTGTGGTTGTGGAGGTGGAGGGTTTAGCACATTGGTACTTCGGTAGGAAAGTTTTGGGTGCCCCGGAGACCAAGATTATAAGTGTTGGAGTATGGGTTATTTTGCCTATAAGCTTGAAAGGCAGTAACTTGCTCCACGAATTCCTACAATCTTTTGCCCAATGACCTACAATACCATAATTTTCGTAAAAAATGTTAAATTTGGTATTATTAATAGCAGAAACATTAACAACGGAAGATGAATTAGAAGTACTAAGATTGTCTAATTTCTGGCTAATATAAGTCAATTAAGCTTGCAAAAAGGATATAAAGTCGACGTGATGTTTCCCCTTATTAGCAAACCTTCTTGGAATCCTAATTGGGAATTATGGATAGCCATATCTTCGACAACATTGCTTGCTACATTCTCGTCAAGATTCATAAATCTTTCGTTTGCTGAAGAGTCCAAAATAGATCTTGAAAAATTTCCAAGCCCGTTGTAGAAGACTTAGATCATCTGCCACTATGATATCCCATGATGGGGGCATTCTCTCTACATATCCTTAAACCTTTCCCAAGCTTCATATAAAGACTCGTTAGCATCTTGGGAAAAATTAAGGATTGAGCTTTGTAATAAAGCGGTCTTCTCTTGGGGATAGTACTTATTGTAGAAAGCTAAAGCAAGAGCATTCCAGTCAGTAATACCAAGTGCAGTTTTATTCAATCCATTATACCATAATTTAGCTTTACCACATAAAGAAAAAGGAAAAAGAATCTCCCTGATTTGGTCCTATGTGACCCCAGCTTGTCTAATGGTGTTGCAATATTGGCAATAATCTAGAAAATGAAGATTAGGATCCTCATTCTTAGTGCTGCCAAATTTATTCCTTTCTATCATGCTAATAAACTGGGGTTTGATATCAAATTGCACTCCTTCGAGATCCGGTGGAGGGGCAAAGTGTGGGAGCTCTTCCAAGGAAGGCTACGAATAATCGGTGAGCTTGCGAGATGGAGGTGATGGTGGTGGATTCATGTCTGATTCTTGATCTGTAGATGGATCTGTGTTGCTAGAATCAGATGGGGGTTCCAAAGGTATATTACCTTTGGAACTAGCTCGTACTTGTCTGAAAAGATTCTTCTGTCTATGGAAAGAACGTTCGATTTCAGTATCGAACGGAATGTAACTTGATCTAGAATCCCTGGGCATAAATACATAACTAAACAAAAAAATTATGAGAAACTGTCCCTAAAATCGTTTCTCCGACAACGGCGCCAAATTTTGACAGGCTAAAGTCGTATCATCTAATCAAAAGTAGTTCCTAAATTCCTCTAACTAATATAGATAGAGAAGTAGGGTCAAATCCACAGGTAAACAGTGTTCTTTTACTCCTAATAAATTATTATAATCTAAATTATCAAGAATAAAGTAAGAATTGTGATAATTATACTATGACAACAATTAAACTAAGGGAATAATCAATAATAAAAAGCCTAGGGTCACAGGTTCACCAATAATTAATACTACGGAATAAAACATAACAATCAACGATTGACAATACAAATAACATAATTAACAAGCCCTTGCAATTTATTAATCAACAAAGATCTAACAGGTTCTCACAATTTACTAGACCTAAGTTCCTATGAAAATAGCCTTTAATATCAAATTAACATCTGCTCAATTCATCAATTCAATATTGCTATACTTTTACAATCAAATTACATCTACTCGATTCATAATCCAATTGCAAAGAATTAAAACAATTCAATAAGAAATTATCATGCAATATCAATAATCGATAGTAACAAATTATCCCTTCATACTAATTATGGATCCCCCAAGAACCCTAAACTACTCACACATGTTTAAATCTAAACTAATCAAAGCATATAAAGAAAACATGATTAAAATCAAAGCAATAATAATCAAAGCAATTAAAATCAAATCAATAACTAAAACAATAAAAAAGACGAGAATAATACTGAATGAAGGAAATATGAAATTGCACTAAAAGGGAAAACTTGAGTTCAGCAATAATCTCCAACTAAAAATCTCTCTAAGAACTTAATGATGAAATCAAAATCTAAAGATATGTCTCTAAAAAAATCTTACAAAAGAGTTTAAATACTAAGCTCAAAAAAATAACAAAAATAACTCCTAAACGTCCTAGGAGAAACACGCGCCCGATCGGGCATAAGGGCCGCCCAATCGGGCCCGCCTTTTTGCTCTTTCTCGAAATCTGGGCATCCGCCAGATCGGGCAACGACCAACTTGATCGGGCCCGGTCTTTTCTAGGCCGATCTTCCTCTTTTCTTTTCTTTGGACTTTAATTCCTGCTTGGACCAACTCCATGAACCAAGCCCTTAGTCACTGAAATCCTCGGTCTTTGGCCACGGAAGACGGTTATAAATGTGATCATAGCTTTGATATCTCATAGTGGCCGAAAAAACATGGAAATCACCAAAAATCCGGAAATTTCTACAAAATGTCAACTCTACAAAACACTCGAAACCACACTTTATACCAAAAATAACTCCGAAGAGCTCATATATGCATAAAAATGACCGTGGGACGAGGAATAAAATAGCATAAAAAATACACATATCAATTAACTCATCTTTTTGGCATTTATTATCTTTGTAATGGAATACCTTTGGATGTTTTTGAAAAATATATGTTATTTTTGTGAGTTTGCATGGGAGGAAGTCTATGTACAAATAAAATCATTTTATTAGGATGCTAACTTGAGTCCAGTCCAAAGCAGATATTTAACTAAATTTTATAATAAGCTACAATGTTAATTCAACAATAATTTACCAAAAAAAAATATTATAATAAAATAAATTAAATCTTATACCTATACTAAAGATAGATATCATGGCTATTAATGCATTAGATGCTTTTAAATAAAAAAATGAAGGAAATATAGGGAATATGTGGCTTTTAAAAAAAATTAGGTTAGTCATCATGCGATATACTCGTACCCCTTTCATCCCAAGAAATGTAGCCTTAAACTGTTGCATACCTTATGCTAATTATTAATTTAGGCCATGTTCCCTTAGCTTAACATTAATTTTTACTAAATTGTTATTTTTGTTTTTTTTGCTAAACTGAAATAATTTTTAATTAAATTAAATTATTTTTCTGAAGTGAAATTTTTTTTATAGATTCTCTATTATATTTTCTCTTTAAAATTACTAGTTTTTACTAATTAGAACTTATATTTACAAAACTAAACTTTTTTTTTGCTAATTTCAACTTATTTTTAATGAAAATTTTACATTATTCTTTTGATACTGACTATCAAAAGATAAGATATGTGGCGCTTTGTGGTTGACTACAATATTCATGTAAACATTTCTTTTAGATTTATAGTTTATGTTAAAAAATATTTAAAATCATTTTTCTTATATTATAAATTCAATTTATATTTTCAAAAATTATTTATTATTATTTGGAAATTTCATTTGTTTTTGTTCACAAAATTAATTTCTGTAAATCAAATTTTAATTAAAAAACTAATATTAAAATCAGAAAATTAAATATCTCTCTTCGATCTACTTTTATATTCCCATCCTCTCTTCTCAACTGTTCTTGATCTTCACCTTTCCATGGCTCCATCTTCTAACCTTTCTTCATCTTTTTTCATGCATCATCTTCTCATCTTCTCTTATTCATCATTAATTTGTGATTCAATTCTTTGTTCCACTGTTTCCTTTTTGCCCCAAATTAATAAAAATCAAACCCTTTTTTCAAACCCTGAATCTGCAACGATGACCCAGGATAGCCATGATCAGCAACCATGACTTGATAGCTTTTTTTTTAAGGAACATGACCTAATAGCTTACAGGAAGATGAGAAGATGATGAAAAAAGATGAATGAGAGGATGGAGCCATGGAAGGATAGAGATCAAGAGCAATTGTGAAGAGAGGATGCGAAAAGAAAAAAGATTAATTAAAGAGATTTTAATTTTCTAATTTTCTAATTTTATAATTTATTAAAAATCTAATTTACAGAAATTAATTTTAAAAATAATGAATAATGTATTTTTGGAGTTATTAATTGAATAAGATAAATGATTTTTCAATAATCTTGATGTATATTTTTTTAAAATGCATACACGTATAATTCCAGCCAATCACAACACGTTACATGGTTTAGCTTGTGGTAGTCATTTTTCAAATGACCGGTATAAAATCATCTTATTTTTAATGAACTTAAATTAATTGTACTAATATTATTTGAATAAGGTGAAGTGAACAAGGCTTAAATTAGTTATAAAAATCATTATGCATAATTTAAATACTTCATTTTTCTTTTTTTTTTAATAAAAGCAGCATATATGCTTAATTTGTTCCAAATTAATTGATACATACAACTTTTGGGGGAGTTTCTTTTTAGTGACACGTTTCTATTTTAGGTAAGTGTAGGCGTCATAGAAGTCGGCCTACCTTAGCACATGTGAATGTGCTTGGAAATCGTAGGAAGATGTGGAATCGATATTGAATCGAAAGCAACATGAGAGAAGTAGGGAGCGAGCCGCCAACAAGTTTTAATTAAGGAACTTGTAAACCGTTCATGGACTTCATCAAAACAGTCAAAGGAAACTACAATTTTCAACTCATGAAGGTTACATCCCATTCACAATCCCTAAGATTGCTAACTCCATATGGTTACGAAACACAACTGGAGGGTTTAAGGTATGATGGTACGAAATTGCATTAGGATGGTCATCCCACCCGTATTGGCCTCTACTCGATTCTTATAGTGATATGGCAATCGAAAAGACATACAAATAATTATTCAATTGGAATTTTTGTGAAAAACTACCATATAACTAACCACTTTTGATAACAACTACCTATTAAATTTATTTTTTTTAAAAAAATTACCACAAAAACACAAAAATTTTGAGTAGTATTACCACTTTTGGTTTTCCGACAAGATTCTCTGGTTAAGAAGACCCAATTTATAAAATTTTCGTCCAAAAAACCCATATGAACTAACAAAATTGTCTCTACATTAACTTTAGATTGGGTAGTACGATTCAATTGCACCAAATCCCCCAATTTCGTAAAACCCTAAATTCGATTTTTTGACATAAACCCTAATTTTAATATTGAATTGAGAAATTAAATAATCTACAATGCAAAATTAAAGATAATTCACATATAATTGTGTTCGGGCACTAAATTCCATTTGTGCCTAAAATCATGTTCAATGCTTTAGTGGCCAAGCCATGGATCACATTAGAGGGGGAATGTGTCTTTGATGGAAGGATGGGTATTTTTCCATTTACAAAAAAGTGCCAGTATAAAGGAACTTTAAATACTGGAAAAAAGGGGAGTTGGTCACAAAGATCATACCAAATTGACCAGAGAAGTGTTAAGAAAAATGCTAATAGTGAAAATCATTCCTACAATTATGGAGAAGTGGCCCAACACTGGTTCCCATCAAACAATATACATTCAACAGGACAATGCAAGGGCACACATAACACAAAATGATGCAGTCTGGCAGCAACATTATCAACAACCAAGGTTTACATTCTACCTTATGCAACAGCCACCCAATAGTCCAAATTTGAATGTCTTGGACTTGGGTTTTTTAAGAAGTATCCAGTCACTTCAACATAAGAAAATGGCAAGGACTGTGGATCAGTTAATAGATGTTGTGAACAAAGCATTCTATGAGTTCGGAAGCAAGACATTGTTCAAGGTGTGGGTGACATTACAAGACATTATGAACTCAATTCTTAAGGCGGAGGGGTCAAACAACTTTGACCCCAAGGATAGGCTAGATAGACAAGGAAGACTTCAAGAAGCCATTCAAGCTCCATGTAGGCTGTTATGGAAGCATGGGATATAGTCTATGGTGACACCCCTTTACCAGAAAGTGACCATGAAGAAGAACATTTCGATTACACTCAAGCAGGTCAAACACAAACACAAACACAATTTCCATTTGTTTGTGCTAATGATCATGAAGCATCAACCTCTAGGGAAAATGCTCATGAAGCATCTACTTCTTCAGCAAATGAGGAGTAACTCAAACCATGTTTTTCAAGCAAGTACACAAGTGAAGTGAGGAAGAAAAAAGTAAGTATGCAACATATTTTGGGGGAAGTTCTTTTATTACAAACTTTTCAGTTTTAACTTTTGTAATGTTGCTGTAAAAATAACTTCAAAGTTGTACTTCCTTTTGAAATATTTAAATAAAAAGTCATTTTGACTTTACTAACTAATGCAAGAAATTATGTATGAGAACAATGTGCACATTTAAAGGTCTCAGATGTCCCTATGCATCATTAATAATAAACCCATAAATCAGTTCACAAATCTGCCCAAAAGTCTCAACAAATCAAACATAAAATGTATTGATTGGAATCTAATGGCAAATAGGTGATGATTATCATTTGGGTGTACTATCTCATATATTGGACTTTCATCATAGACATATGTATAGGAAAAAAAAAAAAAGGAGGCCATTCAAGAGTCTCAGTTCCCCCATAACTATTACTGACAACCCAACTTCTTCCATGACTACCAATTCTGCTTAAAGACTACAATCCCAGACACAAGTGGTTCATGGGAGGTCAACGGCAAATATTATTCATCATTTCACCAGAAGCTGGGTTCTCTCAAGCGAATGTTTCATCACTGACAACGGGACATTAAAAGGGGACATAATCCAAGAAACTGAGGCACATATCACAGACACACCAACAGCAATAGCAACAACATATCACAATCATACATCCCCTGCCAGCAACATATCACAGTTGCTCCATTTATCAAAAAGCAACACACAATCCTCCATCTTAGTCAACAATAAAGCATCCATTTCATCAACAACATAAAGGGACATAATCCAATAAATTTAAGGGACATATAAAAGGGCAATAAAGAGTAACAAATTGAAAGTACTACTTAGAAGTAAAAAAAAGTACTACTAAATATTTTCAGTAGTACTTTTCATGCTCCCAGTAATACTGAACACCTGTCATTAGTACTACTAAACAGTAACAGTAGTACTACTATGAGGTAAAAAGGTTTGTTATGTAAAATTAGTTGTGCATAACAGTTGTGCATTACAACTTCCTCACTTCTACACTGTTTGTCAAACAAAACTTGAACTTAATAACCATGGACTTAATTTGTAAGCCTTTAGTGTTTACTTATATTTTGGATGTAATTTGTTTTTTCTTTAAAAAAAATAAATAAATAAATAAGGAACCCAACAAGAAGTCGAGGATGAGCGCACCTAGCCTTCCAAGTACACTGTCGAATCTCTGTTTTAAGCCCACTTTGACGAAATTAGACACGTCCTCACTATTCACTCACGTGCTTTTCACCTAAACAAAACAAATCAGGGTGGTGCTGCTCAAATCACTGGACTCTAACCAAGCTCCTAACGTTAAGTAGATTTGTATGAATGTTTAACCAAGCTGAATATATGTTTAAAGTAACTAGAACTAATGGCAATTGGTTACATTCGCCAGTTGCTATATACAAAGCAAATCAAGACTTGTAGGTTTGCAAGACCATAAAATTTTATACTCTGGCTATTATAATAAAGGTTAGTAAAAACTACTCGTATAATATGGCTTTGAAGATAATATAAACGTTAAAAATTTCACGCCCCAGCTACTATCACTACAATGCTAAAAATGTAATTTTCAAAGCTTAAAAGCTATGATTGAATATCAGATGAAGATCTTTGGCTGAAGATTTGAAAACTTTGGTTGTTACAGCGCTTCTGAACGATGTAACCTGCTACATTAGCACAAGAAAGAAAACATTGTTGACAAAACAATGAAGCAATACAGATTTATTAGAAATTAGACCAAGAAATTTCCCTAGCCCATTTTGGCTATTACAGTAAGAGAGAAGAACAATACAAGTAAAAAGAAATACCGAATATAAAATGGTAGAACCCAAATATGCTCACTGGAATGAACCATAGATAACAAACATTAGCTAGATCCAGCAACAGCTCTAGCCAAAAAAAATTAACGAAGTAGAATCTCCAATATTATGTCATTTCTCTGTCGCCGGTTCCTATTGGGCAAATCCATCAAAACAATGATCTATAAATGGTCTAATATGCATACTCAAAAGAGTTTCAGAAAGGATGAGAACAAAAGCATCCTCGTCAAAAGTATTGCCCAGAGCTACTAGAAGTTTAACATAGTCATGAATTTAAATAAGAAAACAAAAATTCTCTCCCACCATCCAGTGAGCATTCAGTGGTTCTGTTGTTTATTAACACTTCTCCACACATCCAAAAATGTCCGATTAAAGCCACTAAAGCTGATACTTCTCTATCGTCAACATCTTCATACCTTTGCAGGTGTGATTTCGGTGGCAGCAGGGGGAGGAGTCGCACCACCAGTTGTCGGCCTGAGATCATAAATACAATAAAATTGAGTTGTGCAATATGAATGCAACTATAGATCAACAAAATAAAAGAGAAAGCGTACAAGAACCACAATTATTTTCCATCTCCAATCGGCCAATATGTCCTCTTAAAGAATCAAACTATGAAAGCAAATTAAGCAGAATATTATGCAGGTACTAAGAAACTTACAGGCCAACGAAAACTTTGAACGCATCATAGATACCCCATTGTGCTCCAGTGAGGGTACCAATCATGACAATACGGAGAGGAAGTCCACGAGTACAAAGACCCAACAGACCCATCTTCTTCACAGCCTGTGCAACCAGCATCAAGATACACATTAATACAAAGAATGAAATGGTATTGACAAGCACAGCCAAAAGAAAAAAGAAATTAAAAACAGTTCACTTAAGCATATAGCATCAAAAATTGAAGCACTTACATCACCAACAGTAGCTCCCTTAGCATTGTTAAGGAAAGACACAAGGTTGTCAGCGGGATGTGAGACAATAGCACAGAAAACACCAGCGATATAACCACCAGCAAAACTGACACCGAGTTGCAAAGGCTTGCTGCACTCACTTTTTGGCACAGGGATAGCATGCTTATAAAGCTGCTCAACAACCAATTCAAATGATGCAAACTTCATCATTGTGTCTGCAGAACATATTATCACATCAGTGTCCATACTAAATGCTTGTGGCTCCAAGCATAAATTTGGCCAGCGACAAATAAATGGCATTATTGGCATCATAACTATCCCACAAAATTGATAACCTACAAGCCTACAGCAATTATACATTAATACATGCCAATAGTCATTCATAACTCATCCATGCACAAAGAGATCAAATTCTGTATAGAATTATAGAAAGAAGGCAGCACCTAAGGACCTCTGAGTTTATAGACCACCATATAACCAAAAACATCTAAATTATCATCTTTCAAAATAATTAACCGGCAAGAGAACCCACCAGAGGGCAGGTTTTAGTGCTGTAGTAGTTTCAACACCCTCCCAACACCCCCCCCCCCTCCCTCCTTCCCCCAAAACACATAAAAAATAATTTAAGCCTCCTTGCTCTGCCCTCTGTAACTATCTCTAAACTGCTCCACATCCCCCATCCCCTCTTTCAATAGCATCTCCAAATTATTAGAAGTCTAAAAAAACAAATAAAAATAGCAACAGAATACATAATGGGGTATAAGTGAATTGAAAGCAGCATCACTCTTCACAATAACATCTTACCAATTTATTTCGTGTTACGAAACCAAGAAAAATAAGTCCATAAATGATAAATCAAACAACAAACTTATGCCAGCAACAGTGAAAACACAAACCAAGACAACAAAATAGATGCGTAAATAAAACCATTTCAGAGAAGCTTAAAATAGAAGACCATAAGAGAAACAAGGACTTGACATTTGATTAGAGACTTAACTTGACATCTAACAAAGACGTTAGAATGTTACTAAGTTAGTGGCCAAAACAGTACCCTAAACAAAGCAAATTAACTTTTTTCACGAGAGGGCTTGTTTGTTTCATCTAATTTGAACTTATCTTATCCTAATTCAGAAAAAAAAAAAAAAAAAGTTAAAAATAATAATAAGTTTATTTCATAAAATTTAACACAATTTCAAGTTACTTTAAATAATTTCAGACAAAATAAGTTTAGACAAGGTAAATTCAGATGTGTAGAATAAAATAATACAAGTTCAGACAAAGATAAACCAGTTCAAATAAGTTCATATGAACAAAACAAAGCCTAATATACACAAGACCTGGGTGAGAGCAAACAATTAAGTCACTGGAGAAAAGCCACTAGAGAAAAGAGGCCATGATGTTGGGTAGCAAAGTAAAGACATTGGATAAAACCTTCATCAGGACATATAACTCAAATCGTTGCAAGGTAAGTGCTCAAAAGGTTACAAACAAAAGTAAATTCAGAAACTAAACTTTTATAAGATAAATTGTACATCAGGCAATAAGGGATAATAATTATAGAAACCAAAGATGCCTTTGAAATCATAGGACTAACATAAATACCCACAAGACATTAGTAGACAAGTATCAGAATTGATGAACAGCATCTACTAAGAACTTACATGGAATCTGGCGACCCCAAAGTGGTACCAATCCCCTGTATAGCCTGCAAAAATCAAGCTTCTCAATGAGTTTAAAATTCCCACCAACACAGCTCTAAGAGTAAAGCAAGAGACCAGTGTATCAAGTATTATGATATTTTGAATAAGATAGCATAACAAGAAACTTACCCGCCAACTCCGTCAGACTTGATAAACTTAGGGAGACCATCAGACAATCCTCTAGCAAAACCAGGTTGGGTTTGCACCCTAACTTTTACTGCCTCCATAGGGCAAAGGGCGATATCAGCAATAACTTCAGCTGATGCTGAACCAGCAAGGTAGATCAATGTCTTGTACTTCGCAGCATACTCTGGGCCAGCAATGTCAGAATAGTACTTCTTGAAGAATTCATAGAAACCAAATTTGCAAGCACCCTGAGCACTGTAACCAAAAAGTGTGGGCACCCAACCCCTGAAGAAGCCCCTAACTCCCTGCTCCTTGAGCAAAACACCGAAACCAGAGCTGATGCTCTTGTACTTGGCTGGATCAATCTGAAAACAAAAATATCCACCAAATTAACCCACTTATTTAACCATCAAGAAACTAACAATCGACGAATTATTTCTCTTGAATCACTACACAGAATTCCAAGGACAAACTTATACATAAGGTCAGCTTGATATAATAGGCAGGTAAGACATTATTACCCAGAATATCACCACATCCGTATCATTTATGCACCAGTATCAACCTCATACTTCATAGTATCTAACAATCTCTACTCAACATAGCCCTTGTGCACACTAGAAGGTACTCAAATAATAATTTCAAAGACACATCTAATGAAACCGCAAATCATAACATATGACAGAAGTCGAAATTAATTAAATCACCACTGACTTTTAACCCATTCCCCCAATATCAGCCCTGTCAAGGCTTTAACCTTTCATGAAATCACTTCCATCTTCACCTAAATCTTAGGCAACATGAATTATGCTCAATTTCAAGCAAAATGAAACGCTAAATCGAACCATTAATTCAAAAATCTAGAAACTTCAAAAATAAAATTTGCACATCAACCCAAACAATATCGACTTCAACGTCAAATCCCCAAATTCATGACCTAAGCACACCTTAATTATACAACATACAGATCAAACAACATATAAATCATAAAATTCAAAATCACGCCCAAATCACATCGAAAACATAAATTCAAAAATTTATAAAATGAAATGAACAACATTTTAAAAACAAATGAACAACGCAAAATCCTCAACAAAAACAAAAAACAACAGATCTGAAAGATCCAAAACAATCAATCACAGATCCAACCAAAATGAAAAACAAAAAATTATACCTGCATATTACATTTGACAAGATCAAGAGGAGTAACAGCCATATGAGTAAGACCACAGCTAAGAATACCACCAGCAGTACACGCAGCATAAAACTGAGGCGAATACATCTCAATCTTCCTCGGTGGCTCAGAAGGCGATGGAATCACAAAGCTATTCAATTGTGGTGCGCCATTTTCCGACAAATTAGGGTTAGCATTCATGCTGTTAACAGCGACTTGGTCAAGCCCAGCAAAGCCCTTAGAGGAGTAAAGGAACGAAGGAAGAAGAGATTTCCTAGCGTTTTCAGAGACCGCCATTGTTGCTGAGATTCAAAAGCTTCGAAGAGAGAGAAAATGAGGAAATTTTGTTTCCAACTCTTCTTTTTCTCTCTCTTTGTTCGATTCAGCGATATGGGTCAGTGGTAGGCGCAGTATTCGCGTATTTTATACGAGAAAAAGGGGTTGATGAAATTAGGCCCAGAAATGTTGGGGGTAATTATGACTTTAGGGTGATACCAAAAGTTGGGGGTAATTTACGATTTTAGCCCGGCTGTTTTTTGAAGGTTGAATGAGGGGTGGCCGGTGGAGTGATGGAGTCGAGTCTATTCGGGGAATATTCTGGAATCGAAATATGATGGTCTACTCTTCTTCCTCGAGATGTACATAATTGTTGATTTGTTACCAAGTTGCGTCAAAGATAGTGAACTCTTTTTTTTTTTTTTTTTTGTGAGGAGGAAGAAGATAGAGAACGCTTTACATCAATATTTGTGAGTAGGGATGTTAGTGTGGGTTTCGGTTTGGTAGGTGGTGGGGCAGGTAAGGGGATGAAAACCATACCCGCCATGGGTGATGCGGTGGGGGTGGATTTTAAGTTATACTCGCTCTATTCCTGTCCTGTCCCACCCGCCCCACTTCATACTCGCCCCGCCCCAACAGCCCCACTTCGTACCCACCCCATACCCACATCCGTATAGTTTTTAAAACTAAGTTATATACTTTAATACGATTTTATAAAAAGAAATTATGTCAAACAATATAGTAAATATAATACTTTGTAATATACTTATATTTTAAACAACAAAAGTGTGTAATATTGACATTGTTTGTTTTTTTAAAAAAAAAAATTGTATTATTAATTATGTAGGATTGTGTATATGTGAAGCGGGGATTAGGCGGGTCTTGGGTGGGGATTAGGTGGAGGTGGATATCCAAGTGGGGGTGGGGGCGAGGATGGTTTTGGAATTGTACCCACTAGGAGGGGACGGGGATGAATTTTGGACCCGCCGTTGGGATAGGGATGGGGATGAGATGAAAATTTTAGGTGGGAATGGGGATAGGAAAGCTAACATCCGCCCCGACCAGCCTCATTGACATCTCTAGGAGGATAGCCGATTGCCGATTTTCGGGTTTTGACTTTTGTTTTAAAACTAGGTTAGAACCCGTGCGATGCACGATTTATATAAAATATATTTTATAATTTGTATATTTTTTAAAAAAATGGATAATATAAATAAGAATTATGCACCTTGTACAAAAATATCTGTACTTTTAAAATTTTAGATTTTCATCAAAATTATGAAATAATATCTGTTCAACGTTGCCTAACAAATATTTCAATGTAGGAGTCTATTTATTAGTGTGCTACTTAAAATCATTTCATTTTTTAAGCATAAATTGATAGGTTGTAGTTGTAATGTAGAAGTTTCTAATATTAAATATGATATCTCCACCAAAAACAATATAAATAAAAATAAAATAAAATAAAAAATTAATATAAAAAAAATCTAAAAAAAGTTAAAAACAAAAAATAAAAATGATGACATCATCCTTGCATTTAGGCGGGAAAATTTTTATTAAGAGAGTGACATGTGGACAGTGATGACGTCAGTAACTTTTTATTTAAAGTGCCTCATAGAAACTTTTTGCACTATTCACTCGACTGACTTTGACCATGTTTGTGAATTATACATAAGAAAAAAAAATATAGCATTATGGGTTCTTGTAGGAATCGTCTCAATGAATAGATTATTAATTTTCAATGTTGTAGTTTATACTTATTGTTAATTGAAGATATTATTGATAAAAGTTTTTTATTGACATATGTGCCATGCTTCATTAAGGCACTTAAAAGAAAAAAATGGAGGGAGTATTTTCTTTTTTTAAAGTAACTTGTTTTGATTAGCATATTTGTTAATGTTGAACTTTGAACAATAATATTCACGCGACTGATAAGCCGTGTTTTGTGCATAATTGTTAGCCTCTTTTTAGTTATTCTTATTAGTCTAGCTTAGTATTTTAGTTCATTTTGGTTTGATTTGGTTTAGTTTCGATGATTCGATGCTTTTATGGGTAGTTTCGTTGTTTTTGATGTATTTTAGGATTAACGAAGATAATTTAGAGATTTTATGAAGTCATGAGACTAAACCGAGGGCCACGGACCTTCACGAAGCTCGTTGGTCGAAGGACGAGTCACTTAGGCCTTTTTGGAGTCAAGCACGACCATGTTTAAGAGAGGCAAGCCCATGCCCAGCTTAGGCACGTCCGTGCCTGAGCCTTAGAAACTAAGGGAAATTCTCTGGAAGTGAGACACGTCATAGAGGCACGTTCGTGTCTCTGCTGCTGCCTTTGAATCTGCATATGAGGCACATCCGTGCCCAATATAGGCACATCCGTGCCTGGAGTCCAGAAGATGAGAAGAACCTTACTCGAAGTGAGGCACGTCCGTGCCTCTTAGGAGGGTTATGCGCTGAATTTTCTTACGTTTTCTTATCTTTTTGTTGGGAGTATAAATACCCCAGACTTTATTATATTTGAGGGCAAGCATTCCTTATTAGACCTAGTTTTTTTTCTAAAACCTTTACGTTGCTTTTGTAATTCAAGATTCAAGTTCTACTTTTGCAATCTCCATTTATTTCAAGATTTGGTATTTTCCTTTCATCCCTTATTTCTTAATTATGTTTTCTTTGATTATTTTTGCTATTACTTATTTCAATATGTGTGAGTAGTTTTTATATTCCAAGATCTAGGGTAGCCCAATTGTGATTGATGCATGCATTGATTTTTTAAATTCTCTAATGACAATTGCGATTATTTATGCTAAATTGATTGTGATTATGCCAATACTAGATTAGAGATAATTAGTATTGTTATTATTCCATAGTTTTAATCACAACGAGAGTTGGGTTTTAACGGATTTGAGTAGATCAATTTAGGGTTTGAGATTCATCACGAGAGTAGTTGAATTGATAATTGGGAAGCGAAGTAAAGTGTTTAATGTCTCTAATTTGCATGATTCCATGAGAATAGGCTTGATTGTGGTTAGAGAAGCCATTGATACTCGAGAGAGGTCCTTGGTATTAATTAGGGTTTGCTTTTCCCCATGTTAATTGGATTTGTATGATAGGGGTAGATAGATAATTGTATCGATCGTAATTGTGGTGATACTTGATCTTGGATGTTTTAGTTCATTGATTTATCACATTCTTTAGATTTATTGAGTTATTTATATATTAGTTCTTAGAATATTTCACCATTGATTGTTACTTGCTAGTGATTATTTGAGTCTATTTAATTAGGTGAACCTTAGTCTCTTGGGATTCGATCCTTACATGCCCGTCTACATAGTAGTGGTCTTGTTAGGTTATTTTTGTTAGGTACGCGACACGCCTATCAGAGACCTACTTTAACTTGTGTTAGTGATTTTATACATCAAAAAAATTATAGTAATGTGACTATTTGTTAGAATCATCTCAAAGAAAAAATATTCAATTTTTATAATTTAGGAAAATATTGTCAAGAATTATACAACCTTTGGCCAGTCTTCCAAATAAAAAACGATAGTTTGATTAATAAAATGATCTTTGGGGGTATCTACTCATCAAAATAGAACAAAAATTGTTAACTTGTGTTAACAGGTTGAATCCGACATCTAGCTCAAAGTGATAACAATTAAATTTATCTAAAAATATGTTTATTATAAAATAGCCCTTTTCCCGCCGTACCAGCCCCGCTCCCCCATCAGCCACCAGTAGACCCAGCCCCTTCCCCCACCGCATACCACCTTTCCCCATTGCCCCCATTACAGCCCCTCCCTATCAGCCATCGCCAAAACTCCCCACCCATCTATCCTTATGTCCCATCAATTGCTACCTGTGCGATTTGGGCGAATAAGTTTATTTTCTTTTATACTTTGATACTTCCTCCTCTACTGAATCTTCTTACTCCATATTCCTTCCCCGATTATCACCTACCTTCCATCGACACCACAATTTCCACCATGTTTTATACTATCTTCTCCGACTCCACCTTCCACTAACACTAGATAAACTCTTCCCTTCGTTTCCACTTATGACACCACCATCAAATCAAACGAATTAACTTGTGAAAAAAGGTTGGACTTGAAGGCATGGTCAACCCCAAAAGATAAGGGTGACCATGTCCTCCATTAAAGCTTCCATTGAGCTTGATTTTCTCCATTAAAGCCCAAATTAACAAATTTGTGGTTTATTAAACTTTAACTAAAATTCGTGACGAATTGGCAATTTGAGACTTCCCTTTTAAGCAGACTTAAATCTGCAAACAAAAAGATGGTCGCCGCCTCCCTCTTATTCCTAATCAGATGTCAGGATACATAATTAAAACATCATATTCAAATTTTATTGAATATATTTAAATCATAAGTTAAAAGTGTAATTATTAATAGAAAATGGTTATTTTCCCACTAAGAAACCAATAATTGGCAATTTATATTTATAAATAAATTTGTAGGCATGTTTTAAACTTGTAAGATTTTCGCTGGTTAAGAGAAATATGTAAAATTGAATAGAAATGTAAATCAGACTATGGACATTCATGAATTGTAAAATTGTAAGATTCTAAGATTTAAATTGGGATTTTAATAACTATGCCGCAGAAGAACCAATTTTCACCGCATATCCCCACTTCGCAGGCATCCGATTGAATTGCACCAACTAACGAAAAATAAACAAGTCCACTATTAATAATGATTGACAACTAAAAAAGTCATCTAATAGCTGCTAACGTTTCCCCGTTGGCCTTTCAACAACAAATACGTGTGAATTTATATTACTTGACTACCCCCAACTTGTAATCTCTCTCCAAAGTATTATTTGAAAAACCATTGTCGACTAATAGGCCGCGTAAAGAGACTTAGGAAAATGAGTTGGAACTTGATAGGATGCACTAGAAATTTTATATCAATCCATATTCGGGAATTCTACAACATAAGCTCTAACTTACATGATACTTAGACGTGCACATATAAATTGGTAGCTGAAATCTTTTATTTATAAGTTATTAGTACTTAGATGGTTTCTTCAACTACTTACAAGAATTTTTCTTGTGTTTAACAAAGTTTGTTAAAGAGAGTTAAAAAGTTAGCTAATCTGGTTCTTGAGATAATTAAGAAAACTAG